TTTTTTCCAAGAAACATTAAGAAACTTAATAGTGATTTTGAACTAATTTTAAATTTCACTCTTGCTAAAAAAGTACCATTTCTTAACAGCAAGAACACCCCTTCCTTCAATGAAGGTCCATTTAGCTCTAGTAAGTCACTGCTCCTACTGTGAGTGATCACAGTAAGATCACCCTTGAATAGGGTGCTTTTTCTGTGGCTACATCACATATACTAAGATTTTGCTGTCAAAGAACATTTTCAGGTTCTATTGCAGCACAACCTCAATAGCCCTATTGACAGCAAAATATGGTGGAGCTGATGGACACTTTTAATAATGGATGTTAGGAAGTGTGTTCACTGGTAGCCTGCAGTCCTGTTTCCATATAAGAGGAGAAACCCTATTCCATCCTCCTCCAAATTTGCCTCATGTGGAAACTGAGCTGTGAGGAGAAGAGAAGGGAAGCCAAATTATATGCTGATGTGGAATTGATGTAACCATGGTGCATACCTGAAAAAGAAGGGTGTGAAATGCTCCACTGCCTCCTATAGATATTTTATAATCCAGATGTTTTGGATTATAACATGCTTCTTATAATTCTATAAAACAAAAGTGTTATTTTAGTATTACATTATCATGTTTATTGATGTTTTAAGTATTTCATGCTGATGAAATGTATTTAGAATATTTAAAACATGTCCTGGTCATAGTCACTCCTGTTATGCTGAAACCATAAAAATGCAGCTTTCATTTGCATCTCTTGGGATGGGTTAATATTTGGAAAATGCTTCATCTTAACTCATGCTAGTGCTGCTTCTGTAGCTAAACAGAATTTTACTTGGTAGTGGAAGTACTCAGGAAAATGTAACAGCCATTCCATAATGCTTGTGGGAAGCTCATGTTACTTTGAAGCTTATGTAACAAAAGAAATTAATAAAAAATAATTATAAAATGAAATTAATATTCCTGAAATTAATTAAAGAAAAAATGAAAGTAATGAGATGCTCACAATCTGGCCCTTCAGAAGTAACACATGTGTAAACTTCCGACTCCTCCAGAGTCCATAACACTCCATCAAAGGTGTAGACAAATATGCATTTGCATGGAAACTCATACCAATTTGTTTGTCTTTGTTCATTTGTCTTTGTAGACAGGCTACATGACATTTGAGACTTCTCAGTTGCAATCATTAAGCATAATTTCTGGAAATAAAACTGCAGCTAAAATTATCGAGTTGCCAGGGGAAAACCGTCACACTCTTGGAGTTAAAAATACTGCAACAGGCATTGTTGCTGAATTGGTAAGTCTGCTTAATTCCCAAGACACACGTTAATGTCTTAGCAGCTATCTATGTGGAGTGTGTGAAGCTGAGAGGACAAGCTCTGGGTAGCTTTTCCCTTTGTCTTGTTTTCTGTCTCTCCCCTTCTCTGCTGTACCAGTGAGATGGGTGGGCTGTAGAGAGCAGGGCAGGATGGGTTTTTGTTTGGTTGGTTTGGTAGTTTTTTTGTTTGTTTGGGGTTTTTTTAAGAGTAAAAAAAAAAATTACCAAGTTAGTATTCAACTTGACAATTACCCTTTCACCAAGACTTAGATGTGTGGTCATACAGTGTTTCCTAGTAGGATCCTAAAAGGGAAGGTCTGGAGTCTTGCTCTGAAGCTTCTGTTAATTCTCACTACTATGTAAAAGTGCACTTTTAAGCTGTTCACTGATGCCAACAAAGTATCTTGATAATGGTTTCTTCCCCCAGCTGTTTGACAATATCACATCAAAACCAGAAGAAGGAAATAATCTCATCAGGTAGAGTTTGTTTTGCTCCTGTATTTTGGCAGTAGTGTGTCTTTTCGATCTGCCTCTTGGGTGGCCTCTTCTTGCTTAACACGGGTTTCTATACTGTAGGCACTCTCCACTTGCTGGAAAATTCACTTGGTTTTTAGGAGGTGTAGGAACTTCTGGGACATGATTCATCTAACCTATCTGGCATATCTACTTTGGGTATAATTTAGCTCAAATTGGAAGAGTATGTTTTGCTCCATTGTCTAGACTTGAGGACAACAAGCACAGATTGCATGTCTGTACCTGCTTTTTAATCTTGGGTAAGAAGTATCCTACTCCTTCTCTGCTTTTCTTCTACACCTTCCATTTGCAGATGCATTTGTTACTGGTTGTAGCAGAGGCTTGCTCTTGACATTCTCCTGAACAGACAGTGGGCTGGTGTGGGTCTAGCTTGTTTTCTGCATTAGCCACTCTTTAAGGGATTTTAGAGTTCTTTCAGAAATGTTAACTGACAAAAATGGAAGGGGAAGACTTGATGCTTGTTGTGCTGCCAGTATGTAATTAAAAGTAAAACGTATATTCTTTGATTTATGCATATTTTGATTAGTCTTTCATCACTCTTGCATTTTAAAGGTTCATAAACAATTTGCCTGATACTATCAACGTCACTATGGGTGACACTTCTTTTGGAACGTTAATGTCTCTTTCTGCCAGTAATTACAACCTCTTTCCAGGAGGAAGGTAAGCATTTTATTTTGCCCTAATCTAACCAGTTAAAGACATACTTTTCCTTGGGAAAAGGACATGGAACTCTTATGTATTACACACAATTGTCTATACCTCTGGTCTGAACTGTTTTTTTTTTTTTCTTTTTCAGAAAAGATGATATTTTAGTTATTAGAAATTCAGTCCCTTGTTCAACCACTTCACAGGCACTTGGATTTGGCAGTGCCTACACAATTGTAATTGATGAGGTGAGTTGACAGTGCTGTTGGATGGACAAGACAGAATTACTTTTCCTGTCAACATTTTCTTTAATTAAAAAAAACACTTGTAGAATTATCCCTCTTGCCCTTAATTGTACATATAATAGAATTCTGGTATGTTAAACAGAACATAAACCCACTGTTAACTATAAAAATAATGATGGGTGTGAAAAGGACATAATGCAACAATTCACATTCATCACTAATGGCCTTAAATCCTCAGTCTTATTGAACACTAAGGATTTGCATGGAAGTCTCCTGTGAAATAACTACTGCTTTATAACTAGGTATGCAGTGCTTACTATACAATATTTCTTATTTACTCAGGACTTTGTGTATATGATTATAGAGATGACAGAGAACTGCTTAGAGTTACTTTAGTGTACAGACTCTTTATCACTGTTTCTAATGGTCTGTTTTAATTTCCAGTGTACTAGAGATGTTCTTAATGTAACATATTCTGAAGATATTCCACCCAATACAGTCCATATGGCTTGGCAGATACCTCAGTATTTTATTCTTACATGTGCAGAAGTAGTCTTCTCTGTCACTGGGCTAGAGTTTTCATACTCACAGGTAGGTTTTGCTCTTCAAAGCTCTCATTGTGTTAAAAATCCTAGTACAAACGAAGATCCTCAGTGTTCTATTGTTTTTAAGTGGTGGTTCTGTGTTGCTGTTTTGTTTGAATAATTATGTCCTTCAGAGCTCCATAGCAGGACTGTAGGCTGGTGCTAGCTGGCCTTGTCTAACTACCATTCAGTGTTTTCCACGAAGCTATGCTGAATTCTGTCCTTGGAAGACTTGATGACCAGTGCTCAAATCTCCTTTTCACATATGACTTCCCATTGAAAATAAGTGGAACTGCGCTGCTGCTGTAGAACCAAACTGGAAAGCCCTCAAATATACAATGAACAAGTCCTGACACCTTATCTCCACATCAATTTCCTCCATACAGTCTTTAGCAGCAGTTTAATGTTACACTCTTAATTCCTTTGTCTTCCAGCTCTGGTTTGTATTATTAGCTGTGTGTATTTCTTCCCTTAATTCTGAGTCTATAAACTGCAGTGATGGGAGCTTTTTAACACGTGGCTTGCTAGACTGTGGTGCACTCAGTTTCTTTACTTAATGAGTACCATGTGTGACCAAGTCAGATGTAAAATGTGCCTGTTGGTTACTCAGTGTGTACAAAGTAAAAGATGTTCCAGTCAGTACGGCTAACTTCTTGCTCCTCAAAGCCTTCCCCAGGCCTGTTTAGTGCTCTAGCAATTTTTAATTAAAAAACCCACCAAACCAAGAAACCCCTCTCCTCCCCCAAGAGCCAGTGTTTGTTATAATGTAAAGAATGCAGTAGACATCAGAAAATAAGTGCTAGCGGTGTTTGACTAAACCCAAAGTGCTTTTACTTCTACAGGCCCCATCTAGTATGAAGGCAGTGCTGCAGGCAGGATGGCTGCTAACCGTGGCTGTCGGTAACATAATTGTCCTTATCGTGGCTGGAGCATCCAAACTCAGTGAGCAGGTAAGCACACAAGCAACTGGCATGCTTTTATATTACACTATGAGAAAGCAGCTGTAATCCAGGAGGAGAGTCATGTCTGATAATCCTCAACTACAACTTTTCAACATCAGCGTTATGGGGGATTTACACTTATAATTGGAATATAGGAGGTTAGTGTTAGCTACAAGAGTGTACCAGTCAGTTGTAGAACTCTCATTAGAGTGTATAAGTAACACCATTATGAATCTTTATAAGCTATCTATCTGGATTAAAACTAGTGTTGAAGGCTGTGACAAGAGGGTGGTAGCTTGTCTTCTGGAGCCACTTCAAAAGTTTCTGTTGGTCTTTTTCCCCAGCACTTCCCTAATGTGTGTACACATGTACATACACAAATTAAACATAAACCAACTCTAACAAAGACTACTTCAACAAAGGTTTATACATCTTATCTGATGTTTGCCATTCCTAACTCTTGCTCTGTCAGGCTCCTTCCTTTGCAAGCAGTTTCTAGTGTCTCTACAATAGTTTCTCCTGGTGTGAAAATGCTGTGAACATCTGGCCTGAAATTCTAGACTAATGCTATTAAAACCTACCAAAATTCTCTTTACTACTAATGAAACTTCAGCTACGTACCTCAGCCTTGCCATGTCCCTTCTGGCTCTATTGGTTTCAAACATCACTCCTTTGAGCAGGAAAGCTGTTCTCCTGGTGAAGAGCACTTGGACAAGACTTTCTTAGACTACTGGTGGCACTCCCTAAAGAATCAAAAGGGATATCTGAGACAGGACAGAGCCTATCTTTGAAACAAGTCCAGCAGTCCTGTTTCCAAGCAGAAGGAGCATGAAACGGAGCTGTTGAGGCTTTTCAGGTGGAGATAGCACTTTGAAACCAAAGTTCCCGATCTTGTTCTCTGCCCAGATCTGTGGTCAGTAGAAAGTTTACTGCTGACCTAAGTGGAAGAAGGATCACTGCCAGCCTGGTTGAAAATGAGATTACCTGACCAAAAGGAGGGGCTGAGTTTTCTTTTCCAGCTTTCACTCCATTCCCATGCTTCCAGGAAGAGGATACTGTAGAATTTTCCAGCATTCATAGAACTTCTGTCTCTTCGTTGAAGACAGAACTGCTGAAAGAGCCTCAGTTCTGACTTGCTTTAATATCATAGAATGGTTTGGGTTGGAAGGAACCTTTGAAGGTCATCTAGTCCAACCCCCCTACAGTGAGCAGGGACACCTTCAACTAGATCAGGTTGCTCAGAGCTCCTTCCAACCTCACCTTGAATGCTTCCAGGGATGTAGCTTCTGCCACCTTTCTAGGCAACTTGTTCCAGTGTTTCCCCACCCTTATTGTAAAAAAATTTCTTCCTTATATGTAGTCTGAATCTCCCCTCTTTTAGTTTAAAACCATAACCCCTTGTCCTATCACTACAGGCCTTGCTAAAGAGTTTGTTCCCATCTTTCTCACAGGCCTTCTTTAAGGATTGAAGGGCCACAATAAGGTCACCCTGTAACCTTCTCCAAGCTGAACAACCCCAACTCTCTCAGCCTTTCTACATATTATATACATCTAATACTCAGTCCTTTGAGTCATGTGGTACTTGTTGTATGTGCTCAGTTTCACAATCTGAATTAACTTCATTCCTTGCAAACAGTAAAAAGGTGTAGTTCTTTTGATGAATTGATATTGATTGATTGATAAATTATACCTTTTTTTTTTTTTAACAGTGGGCAGAATATGTGCTGTTTGCTGCCTTGCTGTTGGCAGTTTGCATCATTTTTGCTGTCATGGCTTATTTTTATACCTACATTGATCCAAACGAGATTGAAGCCCAACTTGATGAGGAAGACAAGAAACAAGGCAAAAAGGATCAAGACATCTATGAAAAGCAAGTCGAAGCTGACTCTAAGTTGTAAAAAGCGTATTCAAGGAATGTTTGCAAATGATGGTATCCCATTACCCCGATTCCTCTTACTGCAGGGAGAGTTGTCAGTAACACCTTGATAATATGCCCAATGGGAGAGATTAAGAAAAGCTGTTTTAACTTAAAATGCAGCCTCTCTTTGGAAGCAAGAGGAAAAGATTAGTGTCTCTTGTACTGAACTTGGTATCCTGAAGAAACTCCAGCAGAATTTGCACTCTTAATGTACCTCAGGCTTAAATATTACAGCATTAAAATAGTGAAATTGCACTTGGCACTGTTAGACCCTGGGAAAAGATGTATTTTTATACTGTATTTCAATTTTATATCATGAAAGAAGTAGTAATTGAAGCCAAGCTGTCTGCATGACCCCTCTAGCCTCACTGTTACTTGAAAGCAGCAGGTCACATGTGCCTTAAATTCTTCGGTACTTCCTTATGGATAATGGGAGCAAAGCTCTGGCATTGCTCAGCTTGAAGAGCTGTCTGTGCTCCACATGGCAGGAACTTGGACATGCACTGTAATGTAATGGTTTATGTGCCTGTTAACTACCCGTTTAACTCCTGTTATGTTCTTAATTAAATGTATTAATGAGGTGTCCACTCAGGGAAACAGACAATGGCAAATGACACTTGGAATAAGCAACAGCAATAAAACCTGTGTTATAACAAAATAATGGAAGTGATATAAGAGTATGACTTATAGTTGCATGTTAACAAAACTTGATACCACCTCTTTGCTGCTTCTTCATATTGTGCTCCGCCATTTGAAGCTAATAGACCAGTGTCAGTCTTCTCTGTCTTAATATACCTATAGTATAGTAGGGAAGACTAAAGTTTGCTGCTTAACAGGATCCCGTAGCCCCGTGAACCATCTTATGGAGTGCCAGTGGTTTGCATATTGTATTGGGAGTTCCTGTATTTAGATCCATGTCATACACTTTCTCCAGCAGCTGGCTTGGACTGCCTGGCCAGATTTGTAACTGCTTTGATACCTGGCTTCCAGTACTCTTACCCTATTTTTACAGCATGTCCAGCTTTTGTGTGCAAATGATCACACAGACATACATATTTACTCAACATGCACGTTGCTGGCACTGCAGATGCTTGGGCCTCTGGGATCTATGATCCCAGGGTTCCCACTCCAGTTGCTGGCACTTAGACTTCCATGTATGTGTGTGCCCAGAGAACAGAGTCCCTCAACTGTGAAAACAGTTAGAAATGGAATTTGATAAGGCAAATCCAAGGTGCTCTTCCCCTGCATCCCAGTTAGTCCTGTACCCCACAGGAAGGAACTCCTATTGCTTTCTAAGGGCATCCAGGGAGAGTCTTCCCATGGATTCAAGGTGCTGGGTGCCCCCTGAGCCCATGGGGCTGGGCATCTCCTGGGACAGCCCTAGGAAGAGCTAGCTGGCTCCCTGCCATCCTCTGAGGAGCTAAGGGGGTTTTGTACCAGCTTTACTTGTGGTAACTAGCCAGCCTTTCCTTTGCCATGCAAGTTAAGCAAAATAAATTGTCTCTTAGTATCTCTACAAGATGATAGCATCTTCTATTCACTATTTTGCCCATACCAGGTGAAATGTGTATTTAGCATTTTATTACTACTTTTTTTTCCTCTGATATGTGTCTCTTTTTTTTTTTTTACATCATCAGCTGTTGGAAGTTAGCACTTTAACAAACCTACTAACTTGTCTACCACATGGATGGATGTGTTTTATGGGTAGAAAGCCAGTAATGCTGTAAAATTAGATAGGAAATCTTTCTGGAGAGAAGAAAAACTCCCTCATCTCTTCATCCCTGTAAGGTAGTATGGAGACAGTCATATGTGATGAGATTTTTATCTCATTTTCAACAGGGATTGAAG